AGAAGTTGGTCGGTGAGCTTCCTCTGTCAGCAAAAGATTACTGAATATTTGAAATCTTCATTTCTGGGCTTCAAAGTCAGCAAATTGCTGAGTAAACTCGGCTCTGAGTAAGAAGAGACTGAGGAGGGTAATGCTGGTGACACTTATACTGGTAGCATGGAAGCTAATGACGGTAAACAGATAAGGAGGGGGCACTTCAACTGACACGCTAATGCCACAAAGCACTATGGGGTTTGAGGTCTTTGTGGGTTAGGGTTAGAAATGGGAACCAACGTCAGTTTTGTCAGGTTTTCTGTATGGCAGTTTTATTTTTATTGGGGATATTTATTTGGCTTGCAAGTTTTGGACAAAGAGGGTAAGTAGAATTTTAATTAAAATATCAGTGTGTAAATTAATATAGTTATTCTGACGTTTGTTAATCAAGAAATAATTTTTAAGGATTTGAGAATTGAAAGATGGATAAGTAATGAAGCTGTCGTCAAACATTATAAATATTAACCTCCTTGAAACTGTTTATTATGTAATGTGATGGAAGTGGTTACATTTACTGAATGAACAATGAGATGTGATATTCCATATAAATATGAATTATCAATCTGATTGGCCTTCGCATATTTGATTTAATATGAACTGAGGTTCTTTGGACTACCAGGAAAACACACACATTTATAAAAATTAATTTAATTCTATATTTCTAAACTAATGATGACAACTGCTTCAGTGTTTAGACCAATTGTGTGGTTAGTAATCTCAGGGTTTATATTCAATTATTCTTTAGATACTGTTGAGGTGAGCTATAGCTATCGTGCAAGGTGTTGATCTTAGTTGGACATTGGATATCCGGCAAACAATTACTCCATGACGCACTACGGTTAGCGATAGGTCTTCATGCCGCGTGCAGTGCCACAGATGGTGATTAGCTGTGTTCCAGGCTGAGTTACAGCTACCGTGCATGGCAATGAATTTAGTTGGACGCTGCGCTCTAGTCGAGGTGGATATCTGGGTGTATTTGTTTGCTTAGTTGGCGTCGAGGTCAGTGGACCGCTTCAGTGTTTATCAGGAATTCTGTAGCTTAGCTAACACCAAGGGGCCTGCTTCTGTGTTTATGCCAATTGCACAGTAATGTCTGGGTTTATATATGAGCAATCACTTGCTTAACTAGCGTCGAGGTGAGCTATAGCTTCCTGGCACCTGGCATCTCACCATGTTGCCACCGTCTTGTGCCAGATGGCAGGCCCCTTTCTACATTTCTTCAGGTTATCTTTAGCATTGGATTTTGTTTGCTGATGAAAAACAGAAACGGCAGAAATTCACTTCAAGGTATTTATGTAATTCAAGTAGTCTCAAAGTGCTGTACTAAAATCATTAAGTTCAGTTCACATCAGGTCCAGATTTAAGCCAGATCAGATCTGTTGTAGTGAAAGGGGACACATGTTGTGAACATTAAAACGGCTGACGTGTATTCTGAAAATGTTTTGCAGTCACTGACCTTTTCTACACTCTCACTTCAACACAGAATCTGTTGGAGTGTTACGGTTGAAGCTTTTGTTTGCACAAGTAACACACTGACCCCTCAAGGTTGATGCTTTCAGCTGCACAGGAGCTGTTAGGCATTTAAACTCGTATTCTGGCTAAAAAGGCTGGGACGTATTTTTCTTTACAGAAAAGTAGCACTGACACAACTTTAGTCCCCTTTTTACGTGTGGGTGTGTACATTATCTCCCATTCACAGCACCAATCAATACAGTACAGGAAAAATATTCATTTTAACCCATCATTCATTAATGTAAAGTATAGGACACATTATTAAAACACTTTGGATTTAAACAAATATTTCATTTAACAAAATATGATTATATAACCTTTTAAAGTCATCCACGAGCCAGGGAAGACAAGCTTTACTCAAAGAGGATCGATGAGAAGTCCTGCGTCTTGTAGCCTTGAAGACTCATGACGTACACAGGATTAGTTAAGAATATTGGCTCAAGTTACGTTCTTCGTATTGGCACCATGGTGTCAGATTGACCTGTGTGAAGAAGTCTGGCATGTAACTTAAAAGTGAACTTCTGGTCATTTTTGATGAAAAACATGACCATTTGGTATGTGCAATTCAGACATTTACAGTTGTCTTTGATAGACCAAACAACACTCCCACACTCGCATGCTTTTGTAAAACTGTTGCATCTGCACTTTTTATCAGTGACCTCTGTGCACACATCCAAGCTCTCATGTAAATGGCTTTGTTTTTATCAGATAATGAAAGGTATGTTGACTCTGATAAAACATTTAGACATTTTTGATTTTCAAGCTAGCTAACATCGTGGTTAGCCTGGCCGTTTCTGTGCCTGAGGCAGAGTAGAGTCTCTGTGGTCTTGTTTGACATGCATCAGTTACCAAGGGGACACTAGTTCATTCAGAGACCATTCTTCAGGAGTCAAACTCAAAGACAGTAAAAACCAACTGCCCACGTGCGCACTTGACTAAAACAAATCTTTTGTTCTATTTAGGCCCAAAGTATGCAGACGTTAGGAATGTGTAGATATCCATTTTTGTTATCTGATTGCAGTCAGCCTGATAAAAGCAGGTCTGTTCAGCCGATGCTTTCTAATAGTGTTCCCTCTGCAGGAAGAGGGTTGGTATCAGATAGTCGGTAGTAAGCAAAAACAGGACAGCAACCACACATTTCTGGTAGGAACTGTAATCTATAATAACTGAAGAATGCTAAACCTAAAGTGTGGAGAACCAAAATGCTAGTTTTTTTATTAGAGCAATGCATTACTCCTTCCCTTCTGTTACACAGTGAAGTGTAGTAAGCACAAAAGAGACATGATGACTTGGTTGATGAACAAGGAAAACCAGGTTAATTTCCTCTGGTTAAAAAAACTCAGAAAATCCAGCAGTCTTCAAAATGGCCACCCATCCATCTCTTCCAGTCTCAGTCACTTTCAGAGAGAGATCTCTTGCCACACCCAGCAGTCCACCTATATACCCTCCGACCCCCCCTCCAATTCAGGTCGGCCAATCACCTCAGCCTTTCACAGAAGAAAAGAAAATGTTAACATTCATACCACCTTCAGCTATTTTCGATAATTAGATAGTCTACATGTAAATCACATCAAATTTACAAATAAGTCATTCTATGCTTTTCTTTAAAAGTTCTCCACTCAGGCATTGTACTATAAAAAGGCAGCATTAGAGGCGGGCTTCCTCTTTACCTGGTTCAAGATGGCTGCCGCAGAGGACAGCTCCTGAGGGTAACAAACAAATTCATGTTTAACACAGATTACATTACAGTCCTGCATGAATACTCTTTAGTTAAAGAAAACATATTGCTTCTCAACACCTTCACATCTTTAAAGCAAGACTGGACATGACATAGATGACTTAGGCTTTTCTATGCTGATTAAATACTTTTGATTGTAGTGTCTAAATCAATTTAGCTGTTTTTACTGTACTTGTGGTAATGATAGAGTAAAAGCTAACAGAAACACGCTAATCACTAATCATATCTCCCACTGGCTCAACAAGAACCAGCTCATTCTGCCTTAATCAGACTGCGCTAGATAAGCTCCTCCCTCTGGTAGAAGACATTATCTCTCACGTCGACTTGCATCCGATTCTTCTCTTACTTGTTTCATTTTCTTACTTTAACCACTGCTGCTTGGTGGTGCATGATAAAACATGTACCACCAACAGTTTATTTGGTGTTGTTGACAGTTTATGTTCAGCACAATGCAGTTTAGTAAACATCTCCTGACATTGACAACAGGAATCAGGTTGTAACATCTAAGCCTACGCTCACATTAGGTACCTTTAACCTACATGAAGTTCAACAACCTTTAACTGTCTGGAGAAAGGTGTTGCAGATTTGCAACGTTAAAACCTACCTACCTGGTTACTCCACATATATATTTCATGAGCAGTTTTTTAACTCAGAAGCACCCCTGAAGGACTTAGTTGCTCGTCCTTTTATCAACACTGTTGCTGAATTCCTGTCTTGTGAAGAGGATGATCAGGGCTGTCCATCTTGTTGTGTAGCTTCATCTTTTTTCTAGCCAGCTCGGGGGCTTCAGAACCATCTTTGCCAATGCTAGTTCTGATTCTGCTCCTCCAGGAGGTCTGATTGCCTTTCCAACAGACAAATAAACGATCTGTAACATCTTGTTACAAACACTTAGGGACTTCTGTTTTAAGTCAAGATCCTGGGTCAGGCCAAGGGTAAAGAGATATTGGTCTGCATGGGCCATGAGGACTCTGGAGCTCCAACCTTGTTATGGTTTACTTTCTCCAGCTGTCTCTTCACCTGGCTGATGGAGACTAACAGGAAGGGGGGGGGGGGGGGGGGTTACCATTTTCTCCTGATGTGGTTAATGACAATAATCGGCAGCAGCAGGATCCTTGAATTAAGTTGAACATTAAACAGTTAAAACAATGGAAATTTGACAGAGGAGCTGTTGGTAGAAGGAAGAAACTGAGCTTCTTCATGAACATAGGATGGAGTGCAGCATCATTTTATCAAAGAATGTGTAGAGTTCATTGACTTTGTCTTTTAGATTCTCCTTCTACTTTGTGCCAGTGATGTTCTTAATCCATTTTCGTCAAGAGCAGGGTTTTCCTCATGTACTACCCATTGTTTTGTAGATTGACTTTAAGTTCTTTTTGTTTACGCCTCAATAATATCCACGTCTCCCTCCCTGAAGAATCTTCTTTGCATAGTACTTCAGAAGCCATTGATAAATGTGATTAAATTATTAATCACAGGAATATGAATGCTGATGAATTCTTAGCACTAGAGTGATACCAGGGTAAACCTGATGTTACCTCTGATCGCATTTCCAGTTTTACAGCAGAGGCCTCAGAAGCAGTAGTCGAAATATAAACAATCCCTAAGCCACACACGCTTCAGCTCGAATTACAGTTTAGTTAAAAACAAGAAATACATCAGAACAACAACATGGTTCCAGAGACATTCAGATACAACTGTCTTTTTCTTTGCACAGGGAACACTGTCAGCAACCTGATCATGATCCTTCCTCCTATTTATGGGGCCTTCCTAACCTATCGTGACGGCCTTGAGTTTCGATACATCTGCTCGTTTCTGGGACTTTTAGGTGAGTTTATGTTCATGTATTTAGCAGAATGCAGTTCTGTGCCTCCTTGGTAAGGTCCATTCAGAGTTTCAGGAGAGGAGGGTCTGTCGGATTGTCAAACCTTGATCAGATTCAGGAGGAAAAGGGTAGAATGCCTTCTCCGGGTCAGGGATGAAGTCCTGCCTCAAGTGGAGGAGTTTAAGTATCTTGGGGTCTTGTTCGTGAGTGATAATGAAGTCAACAGGTTGCCCTTGAGGCTAACAACAAACACTAATCAATCAATCCTAGGTGGCAGTGAGGCAGCATAATAAATCATAAAGGGAAGTCAACAAGGAGTGAGTGGACAGTAGAGTGGGGGGCGGTTACAGGGAAAAGAAGAAGAAGAAGGCAATCTTTTTTATAGTGCCTCAAGATAAAAATCACAAGACTTTACAAAAAATATTTAAAAAAATTAAAGTATAAAAAGATTTAAAAAATGCTTCAAAACATGTTTAAAAGGAGAACAAAATGTAAGGAAAGGGAGAGAGAAAATGAATAAGAAAGAGGGAAATCAATAGATCCCGGGAAAGGCGGAATAAGAACGGAACAAGGAGAGGGTGATGAAGGTCACACAAAAGCCAGCTTGAACAGGTGAGTTTTTAACTTCTTTTTAAAGGTGACTACTGAGTCCACTGATGTCAAGCTCAGGGGGAGAGAGGTCCAGAGTCTGGGGGCCACAGCTGCAAATGATCTGTCACCTTTGGTCTTAAGCCTGGTGCTGCACAACCAGTAGGCTTTGGTCACTGGACCTCAGGGACCTGCTGGGGGTGTAGGGACTAAGAAGATCACCAATGTAAGGTGGTACTAGTCCATGTAAGGCCCTATAGACCAGAACCAGGATCTTGAAATGAACCCTGAAGTTGACTGACAGCCAATGAAGCTGGAGGAGAAGCGGGGTGATGTGGGTGTGTTTGGAGGACTTGGTCAGAAGCCGAGCACAGGCGTTCTGAACCACCTGTAGACGGTTCAGGGAGGTTCTGCTCAGACATGTGAAAAGAGAGTTACAGTAGTCTAAGCGTGAGGAGATGAAGGTGTGGATAACTGTCTCAAGTTCAGAGCGGGACAGAATGGGACTCAGCTTAGCGATGTTCCTGAGATGGAAGAAGGAAGAGCGAACAAGAGAACTGACATGAGAATCCAGGGTGAGAGCTGGGTCAAAGGTCACGACAAGATTGCTGACTGAGGGTTTGGTGTGAGAAGAAAGCTGACCAAGAGAGTCTCTGATTTTGGGATCCAGCTTGTCTGGGGCACAGATGAGAATCTGTCTTATCTTCATTCAGCTGTAGAAACCTCCCAGCCATCCAGGTTTTAATAGTCTAAGCAGGTGTGTAGCAGCTGCGGCTTAGACATCTCATGGAGCTTAAAGAAGATGTACAGTTTAATGTTGTCTGCGTAAAGATGGTAGGAGATTCCTTTGAAGGAGCTCAGGTGTGCTGAAGAGGAAGCAGAGGAGGAAGAATAGGGGCCTCAGCACAGAACCTTGTGGGACACCATGAAAGAGGGATGCAGTGGATGACCTTAATTTGGAGACGGCCACAGAGAAGGAGCGCTCAGACAGATAAGAGGAGAACCACTCCAGAGCAGATCCTGATAGGCCTACCCAGTCTCAGCCTCTCCAGTGGCAGGTGATGGTCAACAGTGGAAAAGGTGTCAAAGGGAGGATACTAGTTTAAAAGATGCTCTCTGAAGGACTGGGTCTTCAGGAGTTTGATCTTTGTCATCATACTGTTGACACTGCCTTGGACTGAAAATGTTTTGTTTGTCTCTCACCCAGCTGTAGGTGTTGGTTCCTGGTGCTTCCACATGACATTGTTATATGAGATGCAGGTGGGTCACTACTGCACTTGTCTGTTCTTTAATTTGAGTCTGGCAGAAAACTTCTGACTTAAAATGCTAAATCATGCTGAAACTGTTTTTCTGTGTTTTGCAGTTGCTGGACGAGCTGCCAATGATTTACAGTACATGTGTCTTCGTCTACTGTCTGTAAGGCTTTCAGGCTTTTTCTTTGCTGTTATTATACAAAACAAGACAGTTTAAAGTGTCTCATTTGTTATGACTGAGCTTTTGCTAGGGTTGCTTGATTATAAAAAAAAACATTATCACTTTTGTCAATCCCAATATCCTGATTGTTAAACGGGTTAGGGTTAGGGTTAGGGTTGCTGGATGTTTGGGAAACAAACATTTCTTACTTCTCGTTAGACAAAACCATACAGAAAATCATGATGTGCTGTTCATCAAAATAGAGCTTCAAGAGATGTCCAGAGCTCTATATGATTTATTATGACTAGGGTTGGTCATCATTTGATTTTGAGCGATTCCAATTCCTTGTTTCGATTCCGGTTCCTATCGATTCCCGATTCCGGTTCTTTCAAGACATGGCATGTTTTAAATGAGCCAGCTAACCACAGGCCCTACTTGATGAAATAATCTTAACTTCAACGTGAATTTTAATTCTATGAACAATAACATCACCTTCATTTAGACAAAAACATGTTTTGGAGGAAAAAAAGAAAAAGACTTGCAGCACAACCAGTGTGTTTGTTTCTGACCACAACCAAAGTCTGGAAGAAGCCTCTGGGATGAGAGGCTAAATGTCTCCAACATATCCAGAAACGTCCAGCTGCTTTCAGCTAAAACTCTCAGGATGATCATGTCCAGGATGACTGAGAACTACACCTCCATGCTACAGCAGCATTCAGTCAGAACAGAAAGTGAAACTTAAATGTAGCTGCTGTCAGTAACAATCTAACGATTTTAAACATTAAAACTCTCAACAGAAATAGTTCAGAAAGGAAATTAAAATGTTCACAACTTTGTGTGTGATTAATTATTATTATTATTTATTGTGGAACAAGCTGGTGTGGTCCACCACTGAGAAAGCTGCTCTAGCATGATGACTTTAATTATTCTACAGGTTATTGTTCAGCCTTCTGACACTGCTGTTGTGTCCTTGGGCAAGACACTTCACCCAACTTGCCTGTGTTAGTGGTGGTCAGAGGGGCCGACGGCGCCAAATGGCAGCCTCGCCTCTGTCAGACCTCCCCAGGGCAGCTGTGGCTACAAGTAGCTTACCATCACTAGCAGTGTGTGAATGTGAGAGTGTGTGAAAGCATCTTTGGGTGTCTAGAAAAGAGCTATATAAGTTCAATGCATTATTATTATTATTATTAAGATGAGATCAAATAAAAACTTTATTGATCCCACAGGGAATTGCCTTATGGACAGCTGCTGTCATTCATACAGCACACTCCACAATAAATTACTAAAACACAATAAAAACAGCTATAATAAGTTACAAAACCTAGGCAAAACACTTCACAGCTCAATTATTTATGCTTGGTCAGGGAGTTGTGCAATCTAACAGCAGGTGGTACAAATGACCTCCTCAGCTGTCTGCTGCGGAACACACTCCTCTCCTTGAAGACCTCATGAGAGGTGTTGTTCATGATTGCCCTGAATCTGGACATAATCCTCTGCTTTGCCACCTCCTCCACTGAGGCCAACTTCAGCCCCACCACAGAGCTGACCTTCTTTGTGATTTTATTCAGTCTGTAGATGTGTTTTTACTGGTGCAACTCCAGCACACCACAGCATAGAGGAGGGCACTTGGTACTACTGACTGGTAGAACGTGCAGTAGCCTAGAGTTGATTTTGAATAACTGCAGCCTTTGAAGAAAGTACAGCCTGGATTGGCGCCTCTTGTAAAGCTGGTCTGTGTTGGCAGCTCATTCCAGCTGATTGTCCAACACCACTCCCAAGTATTTATATGATAGCACAACCTCAACGCTGTCTCCCTCTATGAGCACTGTCTGATGTGTAGGAGTTTTCCTCCTGAAGTTCAGAACCATTTCTTGGTTTTCTGAACATTCAGCTGCAGATGGTTCCCCTTGCACCAGGCCACAAAGCCCTCTACCAGCCACCTTTACTACCCCTCCTCACCCCCATAATGCACGCCACAGTGGCAGTGTTGTCAGAAAACTTTTGCATATGGGAAGTTGCAGTGTTGTGGCAAAAGTCAGATGTGTACAATGTGGAGTGCAGGAGACAGTACTGTTTAAAAAGAACTGAGTTTAAAATAGAAGTGCAAGAATAAATATCCCTCTGATCCAGTTTTTAGGGGACCTCAGTTAACAATATGTTTGACATTTATCATATGCTGTCTTTGTGTCCTTCATTTCCATTCATTTTTATGTATATTACCCTGTACAGACTAGGTATCCAGATTGCTAAAGTGCTTTACAAAATTCACAAAGAACAAAAGGAATGAATAAGTCGCTAGAAATAAAATGGAATGATATTTTGCAACTAAGTGTTGACAGCTTTCATGAATAAAAAAGTTTTAAGATTTGATTAAAAATGGCCAAGCAAGTAAATTTAGCTACGAGAATGTTCTGGAGAAACTGGGATGAAGACCTCAGAGATCTGCCACTGACACAGAAACTCTATAAATCTGAGATATTAGGTGGGGCAAACCATTAGGAGCTTGGAAAACTAAACAAACAACTAAACAGCAGGCAGCCAGTGGAAAGCAAATAATGTTGGGGTTATGTGTCAGAAGATGTGCAGCTGCATTTTGGACCAACTGAAGGTTTTTCATGGATGACTGAGAGACACCAACAAAAGTGTTACAGTAGTCCATTCTCGCACTAACTAAAGTGTAAATCACCTTCTGAAGATATGCACAAGTAAAGCAAAATATTTACCTCTTGCAAAAAGGCGAAAGTGGTAAAAGCTCAATTTGATAATTGAGCCTAACTGTTTATGAAATTCATTACCTTGTCACAAGGTAATGACTGGGTGTAATGGAATGTTATGGAAGGTTTTGATTTAGCCACTGTGTTGTATAGTAGACTTGAGATACTATAAGATTGAAAGTCGCTGCTACCTGGTCTGTAAATCTTAAGGTCATCTACATATAAGTGGAAAGACAACTTTTGTTGACTTATAGTTGCTGCAAGGGGCAGCAGATAAATCAAAAAGGCAAGGGGCCAAGGATGGAACCCTGTGGCACTCCACATGACACAGGAGCACTGGAGGATATTTTTACGAATAACGACGAAGAATGATTTGACTACCAAATATGAAGTTAACCACTCCTCGCCATGATTTTGTACAGATGTTTTAAAACACTACAACACATGGGAGTCTAGCCCTTAGAAGCGGTGAAAATGCCTTCCATTCAGAAGCACAGACAAAATAAAAGCATATTACAAAATGGATTAAGATGAAATGTAAAATACTGGTTTTGTGATCATAGAAGCCAGAATTGGAATGCAAAATCAACCGACTGCAAAGCCCCAATGCATAATGTATCAGTTTGATTTACTACCAGGGAGTGTAAAACACCGTCATTCATTACAACTTTAATTCATGATTTTATTGTTCAGTTAGCTGAGTGTTAAATGTTAAAAAACACTTCTTTTGTTCAGATATGAGTGCTTCAAGCAAGAGAACAGCACCAGTGGATTTTCTATTGTGTTATTATTATTCTTTAGTGTCTCAGTTACTTTGGTGAGTACACACATATATTTTAAACACTTAATACAACCAGCAGACCTCCTGAGCTGTTTGTGCTTGAATTTCACACAGGTGTACCTGCAGTGGAAGGAGCCAGTGTTTCACCAGGTGAGGCAGACTTCCCTATATTTGCTATTAGGGCTCAGTGTGCCGTAGGTCAGCCGTAACTTGTGTAAACACTGGCTTTGCCAACAACGTGAGCACTCACTGCTGTGCATGTTGGTTGTTAAACGTCAGCCTCTTGCAGGCTTAGGAAATGCAGAATTAATGGCTTGATCTGCCTGTTAAATCAACAACATTTTGTTAGTCAGACACGGGTGTAATTTTATGCAAATGTTCCTCATAGCCAGAGGTGAAATGAGTACTACAGTTTCCTACTTAAGTACAAGTACCAATACTTGAATGATTTTTTACTCAAGTACAAGTAAAAGTATTTGCCTAAATTGTTACTCAAGTAAAGTAAAAAACTTTGATAAATAAAATGTACTCTAAGTAAAAGTTGCTTAGTTACTTTTTGTCAGCGTAAGGATGACTACATCTAAGTAGTGCAAAATCACAACACTCTCACGTTCACCCCCACACACACATGCGCGCACGCATGCACACACCATGGGTTTATGAACCATTATGTCAGAAGAGGATGTGTCCCCCCCCCCCCCCCCACTTTTTTAAATGACGCACTTGGTTTCCTCCCCCCCACCCACATTTAGTCTGCCTTACGCTCTTTCAATGGTTCTCAAATAATTCCATTCCAATTGATCCATTGGAAATTACTCAGCCTGCTGAAATCCATTCCATGTTTTCCTGGTTGCTCTGCTCTGGCGCACACATGGACAGCCAGGGTTGCCAATAAATTAAAAAATAAAAAATACAAAGAGACCAAACCAAATTGAAACCGCGCAGGCTTTTTGAAGCTGGAGGAGTAGTCACTATCCCACAATAAGTTGTTTCTATGTCTGATCCCTCCACAGAAATGTACATCAGGAGATTTTTCACAAAGAAGCATAAAGTAGGTTAAAAAGTCCCAAACACACAGCCATCACCTGCCGGAGCCTGTTGCTCGCCGTTGCGCACAATTTATAACCTATAGGACATGTTGTGATCTGTGGGGGAAACTGGAGTACCCGGAGTAAACCCACTCATGCATGGGGAGAACACGCAACTCCACGCAGAAAGGCCGCAGCCGAATTTCGAATCTGCAACCTTCGTGTTGCGAGGCAACAGTGCTAACAGCTGCGCCACCATGCATTTCAGCTCCTGTGCACCGCCATCACCTGCTGCAGCCTGTGGCGCACTGCTGCGGGCCGGCTCCGATCCAGGAATGAGCTCCCCTGTCCCGCTGGGACGGTTTCAAACACTGCCATCCTCTGCTGGAGACCGTGGCGCGCTGCTGCGCCCACGTTGTTTATTCTGTTATTGTTACCGATACTTGTCTTGCAATGTGAAACGCTTGGTCTCAGATTTTGTAAGAAAAATAATGAAATTTCCCCCAAAATAAGACTTATAGTCCAGTGCAACTTATATATGTTTTTTTCTTCTTCATTATACATTTTATGGCTGGTGCGACTTATAGTCCGGAAAACACGGTACGTTAAAAATATTGAAAACTTGCTCAACGCAAAATATATTTTCATTAAGGAAATAACTTATAAACTTACCGATTTAATACTTTTTTATTCACAGAAAGATAGTTTTCATGAAAAAGCGCCGCAAACCTCCACACAAACTCCATGTGAGTTTCAGGTCGCTGGTGTTCCACAGAGTTAGCTCCTGTTGTAGCTAGGTAGCTACCTCCATTAGCTTAGCTCCCACCTCCGCATTAGCTTTGGGTTAGCTTCAGGTTAGCTTGTAGCTAGTTCGACCGGGTGTCGTCATTTGATCCCAGCCTTACAGCCCCACCCTCAGCTCCACTTCTCTTTTTTTTTTTTTTTTTTTACTTCTCTTCCCTTTTGTGGAATTGTCTGGGCTTGACGGAACCTGTGACACGGTCAAAATGGCGGTGGTGGCCACCTCCCATTTTTCCTCAAAAACCTGTTATTGGAGTCTTTGGAAACCCATTGTCCATATATCTATATGTCGATGAAGGGAACACAATTTCTCACAACACCTGACCTTCCGGCTGACGTCACCCCTCCTTCGTGTGTGAATTGTGACCACTTTAAGATCTAACAGAACTTGCTTGCTTCCTTCAGGACTGGTAGGTTGATAAAACAGTCATAATTATAACATTTTTTTAACTGGTAGAGTAGCTATAACCATCTTCGGTGTGCTCTTACTGTGTTTAGTTTCTAATTCCATTTTTGGTTCTTTTTTAAAACACAGGAAAGGTTTTTCTAAACCTTGCTAACGTTTCGTTTGCCGACTGCAAAACATCCTCAGAGCTGATGCTGATGGTGGCGTCACTTTCTACTCCGTTTATCCGCGGGCAGCAAAATTCAACACAGCAATATTATAAAAGAAGAACAATCAGCCATGACAGCATTATACAAAAATGAACAGATAATTATTCTACCGGCAGACAAAGGAAGAACCACAGTAGTAATGGACAAAGGAAAATATAAACAACAGATGAAACCGATGTTAGAGGACAAAAATACATACAAAATACTTAAAAACGACCCAACAGAAAGCATTAGGAAAAACATGAAAAAAATACTGAAGCCACTACAAGAAAAAGGCAAACTAACAGAAAAAATGTACAAACACTGGATTCCTACAGCAAACATAATACCAAGAATCTATGGAACTCCAAAAAACACAAACAAAACACCCCACTTAGACCAATAATAGATTGCATAGGTACACCAACACACAACATGGCAAAAGAAATCAGCAAAATCATTGGCCCATTATTAGGTAACACAGATCAACACTGCAAAAATAGCATAGAACTGGCAAAAGAACTAAAAAAGACTACAATAAAAGATAACGATATACTCTTCTCACATGACGTCACATCCTTGTTCACAAAAACACCAATCCAAAAAACCATAGACATAGTAGTTAACAGAATCAGACAGGACTAAACTTTACACAAAAGAACAAACCTCACAGCAGATGACAGCACAACTGATAGGACTGGTAGCTAACTCCACTTACTTTACATACGATGACACAATATACAAACAACTGGAAGGCTTTGCCTTGGGTAACCCACAAATGTGGAATGACCTTCCAAGCACTACCAGAACAGGGGCTTCCTTTTCAATTTTCAAGAAACTCCTGAAGACCCTGCTCTTCAGAGAGCATCTTCTTAACTAGCACCTTCCCTGCACCCGTCCCCCCTCTCTACCGTCCACTCCTTTGTTCCCTCCTCTCCATGACTGATGTCAAGTTGTTGTTGTTAGCCTCAAGGGCAACATGCCGATTATCACTTGTAAGTCGCTTTGGGCAGAAGCATCTGCTAAATACATGAACAAAAACCTGCCCGACTTTTATCATATTTTCTTTTTGACTCTCGAGATGCCTCTGATAAAACCTTCTTTCTGCCACTCTTTAGTGGGCTTTGAGTTGTTGCGCTTGGTCTTTTTTTGGTTGTAGAATCCATTTGCAGAGTTTTTCCTCTTCTATTTGAGGTTTTAACGCGGCTAGCAAACGATGCATTACCACCACCTAGCGAGCTTCTACTTCTTCTTCCAGTTTTGAAGTTTGTCGAGAATGCGCTTGAAGTGTCAATTTACGTCACATCCGTAAAACAGCGTGGGAAATTCGGTTCCGAACTGCTGCGCATTTTGCAGCGCACAGCCTATTTAACAAAATGGAATGATAAATGGATTTCATCATTCTTTTTAGTTTAAAATGCTTCATCACCCATTAGCTTCACAAGAATGAACATATATCCTATTTATTTCTTGTTTTTGGACAAATCCTGCCCCATGCTCCTTTAAGTTTGTTTCTCTTTAAATTACATCCAAACTGCAGACATGTTTGCTGTCCTGAGGCAACATGTTAACTAGCAGGCTAACGCAGAGCTAACTGTTACGGGGTCTGAATGCCCCGCCCGCCGTGAGTTATGTGACGTTACGGTGTAGTCATCCATGCAATAATGAATATTGATGTAGAGAAACTTGTTACATTTAAAATTTGCAAATGCGAGGTGATCTGTACCCGACTAAAAAGTAGCACAGTGTGATCTGTATGTCACAAAAAACGCAGCACAACAATGATGGTGATGTTGAACACTCTGCTCAGTCACTGGATTTGTTATCAGACTCTAAACCCAGAAATGGAAGCAGGCAGCAGACGGAAATGTCTGGGACAAATAGTTACTTTGTCCCCTAGTCAGTCAGTGGCCGAATGTCACTGACACAGCGTTATCAGCTGGGTTCTGTATGCTTGAAACCAATCAATGCAGGCACTGAAAAAATGGAGAAGGCTGTCCACCTTTTATTATTAATGTGTGGGGGGGCACAAATGGCGCTTACACATTAGCATCGGCACGGGCCCATACGGTACCGAACGGCACCGGAATTTGGTTTCACACACAGGTCAGATTTGCGTTTTCAGTTCCGAGGCAACTTTTTTTCTCAGACCTTCTCCGCAGCAGTCAGACTGAAGAAAAATAGAAGCGACAATACTGAAGAGAAATCCTGGACAAATACCTCATGAGTATGGGAGCACTTCACTCTAGATGCCATGAAAAGACGGGTGACCTGCAAAATATGCAAAAACCATCTAGCATGGCACGGAAGCACGACATCCCTAAGTGAACATTTGAGACGAAAACATGTGGGGGCTGATGCAGCAGAGGAAGCGCCAGCCCGGTAAGTAACAGAAAATAAACAAGCTAATTATAGTGGTCCATCACTACACGCCGACCAAATTTGGGACTTAGTGTTTTAGCTGAGTTCGTTATAGTGGATGTTAAACATGTTTTTTTTTGCCGCGTCAGTCTACGGTGTTCTACTTCTGATTGACTAGATGCAATCGTGAATCTCCTCCGTGTTGTGAATCATGCGCTTGCCAAATTTAGCACATCTGTTTATAAGAATGTTCTCGTTAAGAGAAAAACGGCACAAACCCATAACTATGTTCCTCATTCAAAAAAGGACAACTCCGCGGAGAAAAACATACAGACGAGCTGTGTCCAGGTGAATATAACGCGGCATAGTTGTATGCTTTCAATTTTTAAACACAGGAGAAATTCAGAAAATCATTTTTTTTACTATTATAAGGCTGTTTTACTATCTAAGGCTGTAAAACGCCTCGCAACACATTTTTGTCCAAATAAATGATCACTGTATATTGTTAATTAATTCAAATAATATAATATTGATTTAGTGTTGTAGTGTGTGTGCTGCTTTATTTTATATGCGTACTTATTTCAGTCTATTTGTGTTTCTCATGAAGAAAAAAAAAACAAGCAACGATGGACAACTACATGGGGAACAAGACACTCACCCCCCAGCAATGCCTACCACTTACAAACTCTATTCTAGATTCTACATTATTTTTTTATGGAATTTACCTCTGATATTTTGATGCCAAAAAATTATTCTGGACTGATATTTTGCACTGTTAAGCTCATTTTACACTGCTGACTGTGTTCATGTGCAATAAAATAGATTGCAGTCAACTGCACAATTCTCTTATGTTTTTCTTTTTCTTAACTGAAATGTATTCATCACTTGTATAGGTTAAATAGCTAAACAATAACAAACTGATTAATCGATTAATCGAAAAAATAATCGACAGATTAATCGATTATGAAAATAATCGTTAGTTGCAGCCCTAGTGTGTGTGTGGCACAAGATTATGAGGACACACACAGCAAATTAATAAAGTAATGGTGTTCAGTGTCTCCAAAAGCAACACAGCTCGTGTCTGCCTGTTGTTTACCTTGTGGAGCGGACTTTCCCTCACGTATTAAACTCCGCCCACAGGCTCGGAGATTTCCACATTCTTGAGAAGTCCCTCGGATTTATATGTGAACACTACACCACCGCCCGTTCGAGACCGAACTCACGCCATCCAGCCCGATCAAACCCCGACCGTGCTGACGCTAATGTGTAAGCGCCAAAAGAGGCTACACTCACACCCAGGTCTCTTGACTGTATGTAAATAATGTTAACGCCTTGAGTCTTCCTGCACCTGGCAGGATGCTTACTGTTTCTGTGTGTGTGTAAATATGGTTGATGCCTGGCTGTCTCCTGATACAAGCAGGCTTGTATGTAAATGACTTGAGACTGCTTTTAATGCCCAACACTGAGGAGAAGGATTCAGTGTTGAGATACTAAAAATGTGAATGAAACCTACCTTTGTGTTGTCCTTGACTCCTCCGCAAATGCACATATAAGGAGAGTCATCAAACAAAGGTGCTGTCAATATGCAGTGGCATTTTTAGAGGATTGCCAAAAAACAGACTAATTAATTTAATGCTTCTTTTTTCCATTGTAGCAGAGAACCACATCCTGATATCTAAAGGTCACAAATAAACATATTTTCACCCATGTTCACTAGGAAAATAACATTATTTGTTTTCAGATGGATGCAGAATGTCTAACATCCTTTTCTGAGTTCAGAATGTAATTGACCCTACTTCTAACCGTAGTAGATCATCTGCTAATGCACTGTTTTACACAGATGAACTCCTTTTTCAGGTCATGTATGGTGTTCTAGTGGCTTGTTTGGTGGTGCGATCTATTTTCATTGTTACATGGTAAGTTTGCCAAAAGTAGATCCAAATTGACCATACCCATATCATGCTCATGTGGTGGTTTTTTTTTCCTTTTAGGGTGTACCCATGGCTCAGGCCACTCTCTTACACCTCCTTAGGCATCTTCATGTTGGGGTTCCTGCTGTGGAACATCGACAACATCTTCTGTGACTCATTAAGGTGGTCATTTGTGAAGTATAGGAGTTTGTTTCTGTCATGTATAGGTTTGATCAGAATTAATTAAATTAAATTCTTTGATCAAAGAAAGTTATTCTCTTGTGGAAAAACTCAGGAGATAACAAAAAGTCACTTGAATCTATAAAAACTGTTTTCCTGACAAAAAATATTAAGAATTCTAATCCTTTGTAATATTTACTGTTAAATTATGTTTTATTCTCTTTTTTCAACCCAGAGCCAGCAGGAGAATGCTGCCCCCTGGTGTTGGAGTCCTGACACAGTTACATGCCTGTTGGCACATTTTCACGGGTCTTGGATCCTACCTGCACATTCTTCTCAGGTGATGCTCTTATTGACTTAGGAAATTACAGTGTTTCAGTTAGATGAATTAAGTTACCCCTCCCTGGGCTACCACTTTACAATGGTGGAATGGTGTGCGTGTCCCACTGATCCTAGGAGCTAAGTTGTCTGAGGCTTTTTACCTCTGGTAGGGTCACCCATGGCAAACAGATTCTAAGTGAGGGATCAGAAAAGAGCAGCCCAAAGACCCCTTGTGAAGAAAAATATACATGGAAACAGTATTTCCTCACCTGGACGCAGGTCACCGGGGCCCCCCTCTGGACCCAAGCCTAGAGCCAAGAGCGGTGGCCTTGGCAGTCCCATCCTTGGCTACAGAAGCTGGCTCTTGGCACGTGGAATGTCACCTTTCTGTTGGTGAAGGAGCCGAGTCGGTGTGCAAGGTTGAGAGGTTCCGACTCATCTCAACGCGTGGCTCTGGCTCTGGAACCAGTTTCCTTGAGAGGGGCTGGATACTACCACACTAGAGTTGCTCCCACTGAGAGATAACAAGCGGCATTGGGCACACTTAGTTGCCCCCATCTTGGTGCCTGTACGCTGGGGTTTACCCTGGTGAACAAGAAGGTAGCCTTCCTCTGCCTACGTGTGGAGGGACAAGTCCTGACTGGTTTGTGCTTATGCACCCTTTTTGGAGACCTTGGATGGGGTGCTGGAGAGTGCTCCTTCCGTTGACTTTCTCGTTCTGCTGGGGGACATTAATGTTTAAGTGGGCAAAGACAGTGAGACCTGGAGAGGTGTGGTTGGGAGGAATGGCCCCCCGATCTGAATTTGAGCGGTGTTTTGTTATTTGACTTCTGTGCTAGTCATGGATTGTCCATAATGAACACCACGTTCAGACATAAAGGTGTCCGTATGTGCTCTTGGAGCCAGGATACCTTAGGCCACAGTTCAATGATCGACTTTGTTGTTGTTTCGTCTGATCTGCGGCCGCATGTCTTGGACATTAGGGTGAAGAGTGGGGCGGAGCTGTCAGTTTACCACTTCCTGGTGATAAGTTGGCTTCGATGATGGGGGAGGATGCTGATCAGACTGGGCATGCCAAAACGTATTGTAAGAACATCTGGCAGAGTCTCCTGTCAGAAGGAGGTGGTTCCCGTATTTAAAAAGGGAGACTGCATGGTGTATTCCAACTACTGGGGGATCACACTTCTGAGCCTCCCTGGTAAGGTCTGTTCAGGGGTTCTGGAGAGTAGGGTCCGTCAGATTGTTGAACATCTGATTCAAGAGGAGCAACGTGGTTTTCGTCCTGGCTGTGAAACACTAGACCAGCTCTATCCCCTTAGGGGTCCTGGAGGGTACGTGGGAGTTCGCTCAACCAGTCTACATGTGTTTTGTGACCTATTTGGAGAAGGCGTTCAACCGCGTCCCACAGTGGGCCCTGTGGGGGGTACTTCAGGTGTATGGGTTACCAGGCCCTCTGATACGGGCTGTTAGGTGGCTGTATGACTGGTGTCTGAGCTTGGTCCGCATTGCTGGCAGTAAGTTGGGCTCTTTCCCAGTGAGAGTTGGACTCCAACAAGGCTGCTCTTTGTCACTGATTCTGTTCATAACTTTTATGAACAGGATTTCTAGGCACAGCCAAGGTGTTGAAGGGATCTGTTTTAGGGGCCTGAAGATCGCGTCTCTGCTTTTTGCAGATGATGTGGACCTGTTGGCTTTATCAGAACGTGATCTCCATCTTTTGTTGGAGCGGTATGCAGCCGAGTGTGAAGCAACTGGGATGAGAATCAGCTCCTCTAAATCTGAGACCATGATCTTGAGTCGGGAAAAGGTGTATGGGTTACCAGGCCCTCTCCGGGTCAGGGATGAGGTCCTGCCCCAAGTGGAGCAGTTTATGTACCTCGGGGTCTTGTTCACAAGTGAGGGAAAGATGGAACGCAAGATCGACAGGCATACTGGTGCTGCGTCTGCACTGATGCGGGCGTTGTACCTGTCTGTCATAGTGAAAAGAGGGCTGAGCCAGAAGGCAAAGCTCTTGATTTACCACTTGATCTACGCTCCTACCTTCACCTATGGTCACGAGCCTTGGGTAGTGACTGAAAGAACAAGATTGCGGATACAAGCGGCTGAAACGAGTTTATTTCGTGGGGTGGCTGGGCTCTCCCTTAGAGATAGGGTGAGAAGTTTGGTCATTCGGGAGGGTTTGGAGTAGACCTGCTGCTCCTCCACATCAAGAGAAGCCGGTTGAAGTGGCTCGGGTATCTGATTAGGATGCCTCCTGGACGCCTTCCTGGTGAGCTTTTCCGGGCACGTCCAACTGGTAGGACACATAAAGGGAGGCCGAGGACACGTTGGAGGGACTATGTCTCTCACCTGGCCAGGAAACGCCTTGGAATCCCCTGGAGGAGCTGGCCCAAGTGGCTGGGGAGAGGGAAGTCTGGGCCTCTCGACTTAGGCTTCTGCCCCCACTGCCCAACTCCGGATAAGCAAAAGAAAATGGATGGATGGAAATAAATTACACTAAAATAAAAATTTCATCTTTCTGTAGCTTGCAAATCAGAGCAACCTACCTCAAGTACACACCAAAAGTTAAGGTAGGCTGGTTTTAAATCTTTAATTAGATGTCTTCATGTTGTCTTCATGTGAAAGCCCCTTGTGCTATCAATTCATGTTTTTAAAATGTATTAAATATTAGGGATGTAATAATGCACCGAGAATCGATTTAAAATCGCTGCAAACTAGTTAAAATATCCATTGTTGTAGAAAGAAGGAAAATCGATTCACAGCGACCACAAATATTACGTAATATGGCATGCTTGCTTGTGCCAGACATTGGCCATGGTGCTGCTAATCAGAACAGAGGCAAATAGGGATGCAATGGATCAGCAATTTATTATTATTATTATTATTGATCTGTGATCCATATGGATTGGTTCAGCAGGCATGTGGTCCAGATCAGTCACGCAGAGGTTGTAGGTGCTACCTGTTTAATCCAAAGTAGAAACGCACGTCAAACAGTGGTCATAACGAAGGAGAGGAGCTTGAAAAACTATAAGGCAAGCAGTTTTAACATTTCATCAGCAATCACAGCTTTCTGTAACTCCTGCTTTTACAACAAGTTGCAGAAATAAGTGTTCTACAAAGTAGAGAGCATATTTTCTGTTTTTCTTGTTCTTTCTTTCTGCTGATCCAAATAACAATCCGATCCGTGACAGAAAATCGTGATGCAATTCAAACCGTGAGATTTTTCATCAGTCGCACCACTAGAGGCAAGCATGGCTACAGGAACTTTGAGATAGTGGATGCTCCAATCCATATAAAATCAACAGTGTGTCAGCGTTTTGGTTTCTCCATGTTTACAAAATGAAAAGGGTGAACAAAATACCATCAAGACAGAAATCGGAAATAATAAATCGGATTTGTGAACTTAAAATTGGGAATCAAATCAAATTGTGGCTTGAGTGAATTGTTACATCCCTAATAAATATGTTTTATCACCATTTCGCTTTGGTAAAAAGAAGAGATTAAACCAGTTCTCAAAACCTTAAATTGTATCTGACATTCAGCTCATGATGACTGAACCATACTTGTGGATCTGACCTTTCTTCCAGTTTCTGTTTGGAGTCTGGCCCACGATGCACATCGGACCACAGAAGAAGAATTGAAATGAAAGAATAGGACTAGCTTAAAGATGGTGACTGCCAGATTCAGACACTGTTGGCACGGAGACCTGCCGGTGCTGCTCACCAACTGCTGGGGCTGGTCAACACCAGAAAAGCCCTTTAGCAACCACTTTATTCTGCTGTAGGAAATCACTACTTCCAGTATAGGACTTAGTCAAACTATTTTTTTTTCATCAAGCATAGCTTATTAGACTAGTTTTATCTAATTTTATTATAACATAGATATTTTATTAGCTCGGCACGGTGCTACGACCCACTGTCCTGGCAAACATTGATGGGTTTAAGGATACTTAAAATGTGCATTTCCTTCAACATTCTAAGTTTAGTTTGACTATTTAATGAAGACATGAGAAAAAAATTAATTAGACCTTTTAATGTTTAATATATCATTTTATAAAAAAGTACCCGCTTCAACAGACATATTCAATTTGATCTCTTTGTCCATTTTTGTGTGGGATCAAATTCACGATTACCTTAAAAAAAATCTGGTTCTGGTTTTTGTTCTACCTGATTTTGCTTCAGTAAAATGTTTCTCCCTGACCCAGTAGAGCTCGACATATCTGCCCATGCCGGTGCTGGCATGTAGACGAAGCCAGTCCATCGATGGCTTATATCGAGATGTTTTCTGCCTTATCTGAAAGTTTAATGAAAATCAAACGAAAGTTTTTTTTTACTCAGGCTCATGTCGAAGACTGTCATTTATTAGTCGAACCACTGGTTTTATATTACAAGTAATTTTAACAACAGCGTGAGTTTAAAAACAAACTGAGACCTTTCATGGACCTCAGTGCTGAGGAGTCACATTCTTAAGAAGGATGGGATCACCAGACATGCTAACTGGGATGTTAGTGTCACAACTTTCAACTTAGGAAACTCTAATCCCATTTGATGAAGCTCATTTTTCCACATTATAACATGTCACAACTGGACAGATTCAGTTTTAGACTCATAATGATCTTATTGCCAAAGTTGCACATATTTTTAAAGTTATGTTATTGTGTGAGATGTATCACTAATTTTATCTTGAAGAAACAATGTCATGATTTAATGACAGCTCATAACAGGAATTCTAGCTTCTCTATAAACTGTTTTATATTTCTAACAAATGCAGAAATAAGGCTAAGTGCACCAGTACTGATGCATTTATTTAATATTTATTAATTTTATTATTATTGTAACTCATAAAGAAGGAATTTCCAGAGGAGTACTTTTGTAAAACTGCTTAAATCACTAGGGTGCAACAGATTCCAACTCATAGTGAATTTACCCAACATGCCACAGTGTGTATTTGCTGTAGACCTCTCAGAATCTCCATGTGTATTTCTTAGTTCTTTATGGTGAATGGGAGGTTTTTTTTTCCTGCTGCTGTGAAACTAGATTTGTGTTAGCAGGAGGCAGGAGCTCCACTGGTTAACTGGAATATGCACAACATTTGGGTGGTTTCAAGATGAACTTTTAGTCATTTCCTAAACTGCTGGATCATTTCCCGAGGACACATACCATTATTGTTATACTCATGAGCAGGGGCGCCGTAAACGGGGGAAAGGTTAGGACGAGTCTAAGGGCCCTAGTCTGCCAGGGGGCCCAAAAAAGTTTCAAACTTAAATAAAAAAATAACATTTTAAAAACCATAAGTACTTTACTTTGCAGTATTTTTTCTAATTTAAGACATTAAACAAACAATATTTTTGTCTCAATCAAATGTAAATGAATTCAGAGGTCTCTACTTTATTTTGACAAGTTCATTTGAACATTGAAATAAGCAAGAATGCTTGTAGACATGCACAATTAAGCAAAACTGAAACACTAATATAAAGTATAAAGTATAATATAAATATAAATATGATATAAATATAATTTATAATATATAATATAAATATAAAGTATAATTATATATATATAATTTTTTATTTTTTTATTTTTTTTTTTCAATTTTTTTCTTCCTTCGCATCTGGGAAGGCAGAGCCACAGCGCCTCTTATGGAGGAGCCGCCAGGGGGCCCAACTTGATATTTTTTCATGGGGCCCAACATATCTTGCAGCCCCCCTGCTCATGAGTCTAAACTCTCGGTGTTACAAACATCCATAAGCACATTATGTGAAAGAAGTATTAGCACTGTCCACATGTCTTTGTGAACTTTCCTGTGGTTTACTTTTGAATCACTGCTCATCAGGAATCGAGGTGCCTTACTGTTATCATTGAAGTGTGTTCCAAGTTACCTTGATGTGTGTTATATTTTCTCACATGCTTATCCCCTGCTAATGCATCAGGAGGACATTGTCAGCTTCTAAGTGTGTGCCTGATTTTTATCCTTCCATTGATTTCATGGTTAAAAACTTCCACACTGTTCCCATGAAATTAAAGTGTTTGTGTTTAGACCACTAGACCAATGTCTGCCAACAGTTATGCTGAAGTGTGATCATGCCAGTCATTTATCATGTTGTCCAATAAAACAAATGATCTCAACATTAAATTACTCATTAGTAGTACTCTTCTTATTAGTGACATTTGATGTTATTGGTTCATTGATAGTTAGATTACTGTGGTATTATTAGGTTTCCAAGCCCAGAGGCCAGGGAGCCCTGTTGTTTTTGTACAGATTTTTCATTATTATTCTCCGCTAAAGTGATATAGGCTCAAGAGCCAGAAAATGCCAGGAAAAATCTAACATGGCGGACTGATAGAAAATCCCTACCGCTACTCAGATTAAAAAAATTCATACCCAGAAACACCTAGGTGGGTCAATGCTTTTGTCTAATAACTCCCAAACCATAAGTCACACACTCAAAAACTTTATATGTGCTTGATCCTTGGATGATTCTGCTTGTGTTTTGTTTTGGCCACGCCCTTTTGCGCCTAACCAGATTTTTCTAGATTGTGAAAAACACAAAACCTAAATTTAATCACAAATCCGTCATTTTTTGTCGAATCAACTTGAAACTTGGGAAACATGATCTATAGATGAAGGTAAGTTATTTTGATGAAGAACATTGCAGTTTGTTTCAGCATAATAGGCTTGATGGATTTTTACAAAACTTGGCATAGATGTTCATTAACGCACCCTTAACCAAAAATTTCTATTTATTTTTATGGCGTGGCTTATAGGCTTAAAAATATTGTGCCCTTTTACTCATGAAAAATATCCAGAATCCTACAAAACATATTCATCATACTGTCATTTACAAACCACAAAAAAAAAAAAAAAATCATTTTTGTCCTATAGGTGGCGCTGCTGTGCCCCCAAAAATCTTTGGGGAATTTTCTCTCCATTTCTTCGGTGAAAAAACAAATCATCTTATTTTGTATGTTCCTTTAGTCAGTCAAATTTAGATGAATATTTTGAAATAAATGCACACTTTTTAGACATTGCATAATACGTCAAACATATTTTTATTACCTCCTCCTGGTACTCAAACCCAATCGAATCGAAACTTTGCCTGACGAGAGGACGAGCAGCTGACCAAAAAGATGTTTTTTTTAATGTATTTTATTTATTTTAGGAAATATGACCTTTTAAAATTATATATTTTAAATAAAAACTTTTTAGTATGAGGAAGCAAACACACTGCGCTTCATCCACAGCTGGTACTTGCAACTTAAGAATAAAAAGGTAGGCTGGAGCACTCAGATCAAATGAAGTATTAGATTAGTGTCAGGATTAGAAGGTTTGGTAACTCGACTTCGGAAAG